GCCGGGGAGCGGCCTGGCGGTGGGGGGGCAGCGCCTCGGCTGTCCCGGGGCAGCTCTGCCCACAGCGGCCGCGGTTACAGCCTGGGGTGCCGGAGCTGCTGTTCGGAGCTTAACCTCAGCAGCCTTTGCAGGATGTCCTCTGCGGAGACTGAAGAGCAGAAGGCACCCTGGCACTTCAGGGTGCCAGGAACATCCCATGGCCAGAGGAGGAATGCAGCTTGAGCAGGGAGCTGCGGAAAGATTCAGTCTAGTGGTTAAAGTTGTCAAACGCTGGCTTGTAGAACTAGATTTTACCCCTCTCTCTTCCCTGCGCTGCCTGAAGGTTGCAGAGCAAGTGACTTAAACCACTTGTCCCAGGTCATGTCACTTAACGTGTCATGGGTCTTGTTCGTCTGACCTGAAAAACTTGTGGTCTGGTTGGCAAAAGTACTCAGTACACACAATTTTAATCAATAAGAATGGTACTTGGAGTATAGCAAAATGCTACAATTCCTAAATAGTCTGAAAATCAAGCTTTGAATGTCTTAGATTAGGCATTTAAAATCGGGGGTCATTTCTGATGATTTTTAATCATCATGTGCACTGCTTCACCAGGATGCCAACTTACGTTAAATAAGTCTTTCACTCCTGTAATGATGTATTCTAAAAAGAGACTGAAAGCTGATGAAGTTATGCGGAGTGCTGTAAAAGGTGTGCAGTAACTGCCATCTGAATATGTCTGTAATTCGTATTTAAATCCGTTTTCCTTAGTTCAGATTAAACAACTACACTGATGCTAACAATCCTGTTTGTCGTATTAGTGGAACGTCCACGTACATAGAGAGGTTTTCTGTGCCACGTGCTTCTAATGTAGGAGTTGTTTCCTGAAGACATCATTGAATATGGAACAGTTAACTAAAACCTAAGTAGATACTACTTCGCGTAACAAAACGTGCACTAATGAACATTCCTGTCTTTCAGGAAGTTGCGCAGTGGCGAATCAATGCCTTAACCAACAAAAAATATGTTTCATATAAATAATCACTCAGCTTCTCCTGATAAATAACTGAGCTTCTCTTTTTTTTATTGAAGAAGAAGAAGAAGATGATGAGCCTCCACGGTGCAAGGCGGGACAAGATATTGTGCTGCAGTCGCCTGTCGACTGGGTGCTTTTGGATGGCCGGGAAAGTTCAGACGACCGTGGAATTGTGCAGTACGAGTGGACGCTGCTGCAGGGCGACTCGTCGGTTGAAATGAAGGTACACGTGCCCGCTCGCACATGGCCAGCTACTTCCAGTCTGTTGTGTTCGTACACTTTTAAATGTAGAGCTGAAAGTATTAAATGTATTCAAATGGATATGGCCACCAGGCATCAGAATTAGGGTGACTGTGCAACTTGAGCATTTATTTCATAGAAATATAGAGCAGCCCAGGTTGGAAGGGACCTCAAAAGGTCATCTGGTCCAACCTTGCGTGGGACGAGGAGCCTAGAAGGGATTATCTTATCTGTCCAAGCACATCCCCAGTGATGGGGAGGATACCGTGTCCCTAGGGAGTTTGTTCCAGTGGTTATTTCTAGTGGTTTACAAAGTTTGTCTCTATCCAGGGTGGCGTGAGATCCTTTACACCAACATGTTTCTTTCTCTGTGTTTCTTTAATCAGGTGCCACAGCCAGGAACGCTGAAGCTCTCCCACGTCCAGGACGGGGGGTATGTTTTCCAGCTGACGGTGACGGACACTGCAGGGCAGCGGAGCTCGGACAACGTCTCTGTGACCGTTCTGCCCATGGTTCGCTCTGCAGCAGGTGAGGAGATGCCCGTGTGACACCCGGGCTGTGATAGTCACAGCAAGGGTCCTGACGGAGGCAGAAATCTTACTCTCCATTTCCAGTGTTTTATTTTGCCCTCGTTCATTACGCAATGACATCTCTTTCAGGTTTGAGTTGCTGTTTCAACGTGAGGAAGCAAGCAAGCAAGCTTCACTTGTTTGCTAGAGCAGTAATACTTTAGAGTGTTCAAAGGTTCGCCCTTGTGTTGCTAATAAGCATGCAGGGTTGGAAAAACAAAATGCATCCCGACAGTCGTCGTGTACTCCGACGGTGGGGGGAACGTCACAAGGATTGCGCCGTAAGGACGATCCAGTTAAAAGCAGTTAATAGTAGGTGTGACGCGCAGACTAATAATAATACTGGCCTGCACCTGTAGTCTAAAAGATGGGATCGTTTCTTGTTTTCATGCATTTAAGCTTTTCTGTTCAAGAGTTGTTACTGAACCTTTATGTTACTGTGGAAACGGGAACTGGAATTGACCCATCATTTTAAAACTCTGAGCTCAAGAAATGTGTAAGAAGCATGAAAGGTAGAAAGTAAGTTAGATTTCAGTGGCTGTCAATTCTGCACTTTTTAATGTAGTAACTTCTAATTACTTTGTAATTAGCAAGTTGCTAAGATAGATCTGCTGCCCTGGCCATTATCACTAAGGTCAGCTGGACCAGTGAAAACTTGGCTCTGCACCACCCCAGTATCTCTACGTGACAGCGTAGTCCCCGTGGCAATAAATTGGTATTACAAAAAACCAGGAATTAATCTGTTCAGTAACACCTGTGTTCCAGTACTGGATGATAGAGTTGTATTCATTAATGTTTAATTCGGCTAAAGCAGCCAGAGAGGTTTGCTGATTTACTTCTTTGCTGCTGTGGGGATCTGTGGTATCTTTGGGTGCAGCACGTAGAGGATTTGCTGCCTTTTTTCTAATTCCCCAAGTCCGTTTGCAGTTCAAGTGCCACTGCTACAGTTAAAGCAGTCCGCAGTGCCTTAATGCGTGCAAGACCACTGCTATTATTAGTACTGAAATTTAGGAGATGCATTTTCTAAGTGTGATTTTAGGGGTTTTAAACAGGCGCCCGTGTTCCTGCCATACTTTCCTCAGCATTGCTCAGCTTTTTGGTACATAGCGGGGTAACAGTCAAAGGCTGTGACTTGCTCGTGCAAATCGATTTGCTGTTACAACATTAACCAAACACTGAATTTGATAGCGCTTTACAAAGAATGAACGGCACGGCTGTTGGAAAGACAAAAGCACAGATGTAAACACTTGATAATCACAAGGTCAGACGGGATTTCAGGAAAGCTTTCAGTATGCGAAGTGTGTCCAGGGACACGCTCCGTTTGCGGGGGAATCTAAATATTAAAGCAGGCAGCGATCAGTTCTTTCTGGGGAGGGTCACCTGTACGACTTTGCTCTGGCATGTGCCGGATTGGAGGCCGTGGATTGCTCGTGGGGGTCAACGACGAGCGTGCTTTCAGTATTTTAGTGAGGCTGCAGAAAGCGTGCCGTAAAAGACCCCATATGGCCCGTATGTGCGCATGTAAAATAACATATTGTCAGAAATACAGAATGGGTATGTAGTAGGAATTATGTGTTGGAGAAATGCAGTTACAACCATAGAGATGTAATTTTCTTTTTAGGACTGTTTTGGGTCTTTTAAGCCTGGGAAGACCTCTGTTCAGCTGAGGCCAGCAGAGTTAAGGTGCTGTAGGGATGCTGCAAAAGGTGTAAGGTGCTGCAGCCTCCAGGTTGAGTATTCCTGTAGTAAAGAGATTGCCAAAGTAGTGATGAGGGTGCAAGGAGCAGCTGTGGGCTATGTTAGCTTGTGTGTCAGTGTAGCATCACACAGCTGAGCCTGGCCTTTCTTCAACTTTCTGCCCTGCTCGTGGCCCTTCTTGACAGAGTGTGGTTTTGGTTTTTCCTTGGCGCTGCAGATTTTAGTCATTGACCCGGTATTTACTGCTTGGATTTTGGTAATTTGAGACTCGTTTCTCAACAGCCTGTGTCGGGGTTTGCTCTCGCTACCAGTTTATCTGCGACGATGGCTGCTGCATCGACATCACGTTTGCTTGCGATGGCGTGAGACAGTGTCCCGACGGATCGGATGAAACTTTCTGCCAGAACTGTAAGTGCGCCGGGCCACAGTGTAGATTGTGAGAGTAACCCCGGGCTGAGGGACCAAAAGGAAATAAATGAGGCCCCTTCGGCCGGCTCTCTTCCCATGAACAAGCAGCTTGCCCCCACCATAGAGCCTTTTGTTGGAAATGGTAGGTGGGACGGTTTCATGTCCACGTACAGCAGGTGCTCAGCAACAAACTCCTTTTTCTTCAAAACATAGCAAAACTGTTCAGGGTCCCCAGATGCCAGATCTTCTGGTAGAGTTCTCAACATTTAAAAGATCAGTTCTTCACTTGCATGATGATTCTGGAAACAAGGGCCCTGGTCTTGATCTGCAGGGTGTCTCAGAGGGGTGCGTCCCAGTGCAGTCACACACCTTGCAGGAATCTGTAACGCTGGAAATGAGAGCACGTAGGGCGACCGGTTGATTCACCGTCACTCTGCTCGCTTTCATTAGCCATCCTCGGTATGCCCCCCTGCTCAGGTAAGTGAACAAAAGTCATCAGCGGGTGAATTGGCACGATGGCTGCCCGCTCCTTCATCGGTATTCCAGTTGCTGGATTTCATTTCAGGGCTCACGTCTATACTCTTGCTTAAGAGCGGACAGCGGGCAATTGGTAACTTGCTCTGTGTCTGGAACTCACATTTCATCCTCTGTCTGAGCCAGATGAACTCGTTCAGCCTGCCTCAAGGCCCGTAGTGCAGGGTCTTCCATCAGAACCCTCCCATTCCCTTCAATTCCATATAAAAATTACCATTTTTGTTCTGCAGTCAGCCGGGGCCGGAAGACGGTGACTCACGCGGCCCTCGGCACGGCCCAGCAGAGGACGGCGGGTCTGACTGGAAGCGCAGACGAGAACTTCTCTGCAGAAAACGCCCTGAAAGCCACTGCCAGAAATCAGCCGCTTCTGCCAGGGGACGCGGACACGTCTAACCGATCGCTTTCTCAGGGACCAAAGCAGCAAACCAGTGGATTTGTGCCAGGTAAGAATTGAAACGAACCCGTTTCAATAAATCTTCCTCTCTGGAGGAAGAAAATGTCTTGCGCCTTAAATTTAATTAAATTGTCTCGTGGTGCCTGGCTAAGAGTAAAAATTTGCAAATGTACAAAATGCAAAAGCAGCTTGTAATAATTAAGTTACAACTAGGAATTGCTTTATGAAGTCAAGTCTGGTTCTTAGCAGGTGCAACAAGAAAGTTAACACGTAGAAATGCTAGGAAAAGAACACAGTCCTAGGGAACAAAACGTGCGGTGAGCTGAACACAAATTCTGCCACAGGCTGGGCTGTGCAGGCTGATGCGTAAGGCTCTTTAAGTCTGGGGGGGGACCTTCCGTCGAACGTGACAAAGTGCCGTTCAGCTTGGGTGAGGGTCGTTGCATCTCTCCTGGTGCTGAGCGATGACTTTTTTTTTTCTCCCCTGAAGTAATCTCTTGATTATTAAGGGCACTTTTTTTTTCTGAAGTGTGTGTCCAGGGCAGGAGAAATCTTTGATCGCTATAGAGAAGGCTCAGTCTTTGGTAACAGAGGACCCCAGGTCCCCAGCAGTATTCTCCGCCGTGGCTGCGAGGCTGTGGGGCGTCAGGGTGCGGTGATGCTCCAGGCAGAGGCACCAACCCTTCCCCTGGTAAAGCTCCAGAAGCTGCAGTGAAACTAGTGTGTCTTTTAAAGTTCTTCCTGGTGAATTAAAATGATCTGAAATGGCAGTTGGATGGAAGCAGAACTGCGTGCAGGGAGCCTCCCCAGCACCCCGCATCCCTCCCCGGGGAAGCGCCGAAGCCCAGCTGTGTATTCTGGCACTGCTGCCCCTGGAAATGAATAGAGCCAAACCACAGTTGC